CATGGACCTGGTGCCCCCTGTTATGGACCTGGTGCCCCCTGTTATGGACCTGGTGCCCCCTGTTATGGACCTGGTGTCCCCTGTCATGGACCTGGTGCCCCCTGTTATGGACCTGGTGTCCCCTGTTATGGACCTGGTGTCCCCCTGGACACGGCTGCACCCCCGTGTAAACCCCTCATGGCGTTCAGCTGCTGAGCAGGTCGGGTTTAATTAAGCCAATTATTTCCATGATCTAATGAACATTTTGCTGCGATCGGCTTTGCACACGCGGAGCCTTTGCCCAGCAAACCTGTCCCGTCCTCACCACATCCCGCAAAACGCAGCCAGCTCCGTAAAACTGGGGGGCAGGGGGGACCTTTTCACCATCACTGTGTGTGTTGGGGTTTGTTTTCTGTTCCAAAGCAAAAGCGTCGGGGCAGGACATCGACCACCTTGACTTCAAGATCGTGGTGGAGCCGAAGGACGCCGCGTCCTTCACCGTGATCCTCGTGGCCTCGTCGCGGCCGTCGCGGCAGGGGAAGGCGGCCTGGACCAGCGACATCAGCCAGGTAGGACTGGGGGGGGTCCCGCTGTGCTGGGCTGCTGGACCCCCATGGGTGGGCTCTGGGGGGAGCGGTGCCACGTGGGGGTGAATTGGGGCTGGGTGCACTGAGAGCCCGGCCACCCCCAAAGCTTTCTGGTGTCAGGAGGAGGAGGAAGAGAAGGTGATGTGGGTGGGAGCAAGGTCCCATTGCTGCTCTGCTGCCATGTGGGGCTTGGGTTTCTCCTGCATGCTGGGGGTCTGCAGCCCATGGTGGGGGTCTCCAGCCCATGGCGGGGGTCTTCGGCCTATGGTGGGGGTCTCCAGCCCATGCAGAGGTCTCCAGTTGGGTTCTTCAGCCCATGGTGGGGGTCTCCAGCCCATGCAGGGGTCTCCAGTTGGGGTCTCCAGCCCATACTACAGTCTCCAATGATGCTGCCCCAAGCAGGGATGCAGGACCACGGTCACCAAGCTCCCATTTTCAGGCAGGAGCCCCCGCCCTTCCCACGTTCGGGCAGAGCAGCTGGGGCTGGATGAGACCAAA